AGTATACCTTATTTATTGAAAGGGAAGTTGGGAGCTTATCATTCAGGCAAATATCAAACTATTTAATCTTCTATGAATGCAATTAATGATTATGTTGCATATGTAACTTGAAAGCTGAAAATTATATATTGAAACTCTCAGTGAAGGTTTGGCAGTTTTATTGAGTTAGTGCTATGTCCACTATTGGCAATGAATAATAAGTTATTTATGGCTCAAATATAATGGGATATAAAACACACAGATATATCATTTTCATATGTTGTTTTTGGATGACCTGGAAAAACATTCATCTTACAAATTACAAGAGTTTGATAATACAGTGTATCCTTTTCATTGAGATGGTTCTCATTAAGCACGTTTAAATTTGTTACACACATGAATAAGGAATGAAATACAACTTTAATGTGTGTCTGGTTTTCATTCTTTGAGCTTATTGTGCCTTGTAGAAACAACTTGCATGGGAAGTCAACAATCAATGATATGGATACTTGAGCCAACTTGAAACTTGTATGTATTTGCATTTTGGTATGTTAATAGCTTCAAATATGTTGCCACATTTCATTAATGTTACCATTTGAATGTTGAAAGTACCAAATTTCAAAATGATTGGGTTGTAAGTGTTTTACCTTTATAAATTAAAATGAGTTTTGTGATAGATTTATCTTAAACTGAAAGCTATTTTCATTTTAAACTTTGAAAAGTTTTAGCTTCTAAGTACTGAGTTTTGAAAAAGGCCAGGTTTTTGGGGGTTTGTGTCTACATGTAGTAGTTTACTTTTGTGACAAAGGTTTCTTCTGATTTATTTTCCAGTTGAGAGATTTTCTCATCTAATATAGTTTTAATTAGCTGTAATATTCACTTCCAAGATTTTGTTGACTTGAACTTGCTGTTTTTATCGAAATGAGCAGTGATATATTTGATTTGATAGTAATATTCACATTTGATGCAGCAAGACTAACCTCAAAAATAAATGTGGTTTGTAACATATTTTAAGATTGCTTAACTCACTTATTACTTTTCTTTTGATTATCTTGTAAAATATATTGTGTATCAATGTACAGATCTCCTGTTTTCTAGAAATCTGTATTACTTATTCTCAAAACCAGAAGAAAAAATCCAAGTTATTAAGTTATGAAAATACATTTTGTAATTGCTTTTCATATAATTAGTTAAAAAAAACATTTATTTCATTAATTTCATTAGACATTCTTTTCATATTAAATAAACCTCAGACTTAAATATGTTTTTAGATAAATAGGCAGACACTTTCAAATTCAGAATCTTTCATAAAAAATGCAGGATTTAGTATTTCATCCATACATGTGCTTCAATTTTTGAAGTTAGGAGAAACAGTAGCTTTTTTTGTTGTGCAATAGTATAAAGGATCTACTGAGGTTTTTATTTTTTATATATTTTTTAAAGGATATTTGCAAAATATATTAACTTCATGCACTGGGATTTTGTTAAAAGTAAGCTGACACATTGCTTTATAACAATACTTGTATTCTCCTTTTTCATACAGTAGAACCTAACTGGTTATTATGTATTCTAGAGCGGTTTTTTCCTGAAGTTCACAGTAGTGAAGCAGTGGATGCAAGCAGTCAGACGGCTAGTGCCTCAACTACTCCCACCAAGAGTCAGCCTTCTTAAGAATGTACACTACTTGCTCAAGAAAAGTTCTTGATAGTGACAAAATAAGAACCTTATTGGTTCTTCTGTGTTGGAACATCATTACTAACAGCAATAATAGGCAAATTTTTCAGAAGGCCAAAGATACTACTGCTGGCAATACAGCTAGAGCATTTTAGGTTGTGATGCATAGCACAACATGTGAAAGGTTTTGTAAGTATGCTGAGGGCCTTGAAATGTTGGAAAAGGTGAAAATATGAACTAGTTTAACTACCTCTGAGAAAACATAACCCAACCACACTTTCGCAACATTGATATTCTAACTATAACATTTATTCCCAGTAACTACTTGCTCAGATATGTCTGAATAGATGGTTGGGTGTGTAATTTGTAGACAGTAGTTTCTTTTTGTTACTTTTATATATAGTGAATAGATTTCTTTTCAGAACTTTAAACATGACTAGACTGATATTATGATTTATGTAAAAAATATCAAGTGAATATGGACAAAATTATTTTATGTATCATCTTCTCCTGTTGAACCATTTCATTTCCTTCTTAACTTCAGTGTTACTTTTCTTGTATTTCATAGGTTTATCTATGCTGTTTGTTACAAGGCTAAGAATGTGTTTTTAGTTGTGTGTACGGCTTGCACGTTTGGTTTTAATAGTTTTTTCTTTTAGCGAGTAGTTTTATTGAATGAGGAAAGTTAAGGGTTATTACTTTCTATTTTTGAATATTTGACATCTGACATTTTATAGAAGGGTGCTGATTGTTTTTAGTAAATTATGTAATGTTTGTAAAATGGTTTTGTCCAATAAATACAAAAGAATGAAAAACAAACAGTTAGGAAGAACAAGACTCTAAAAGACTAAGGTATGATTAGTGATAATGAATATCTACTGAGACTTTGTACTTGATTATTATTTTATTGTTTTTTGTTTGTTTTTTAATGAAGTAATGTTGATACAGTAGCAAAACCTACTGGAATGTGCTCTTGACAGAGGAAGTTGTACATTTGAAGACTTCAGAAGTGATTGTGAATTGCTTAGAATATAATGGTCAGTAACTTAGGATATTGAATGAAACTATAATATTTTATAATATAGACCTAAGCTTTGATTCTTGTATAGGACTAGATTTTTTTTGTCTTTGTGGATTAATATTGGATAGAGAAACAATGTATCTGAGCTTCAGACACCTGTTGGAGTGTTTGTTTTTTGTATTATATGTTGAAAAATTACAGTTGTAGTGCTAGTCACAATGTCAGTGAAGAGTACAGTGTTGGAAATATGACCTGCCAAACAATGAGGAAGAAACTGATGACATAGAATACAAGAAAGTCTAGGTCTCTTATTGTGATGATGTTACTTTATATTATCACCACTGTAATATACACACATCTATATATATAGAGGGAGAGAGAGAGAGAAAATTAAATAATCTAGATTTTTTGCCTAGTGACAGAGGTTCATAATATGCTACATTTTATAGTTCTATAACCATCATTCATTAGTTAATGTTAGAACTCATCTCGTTCGCAGACCCTACAAAGCTATGCAAGTTGATAAATGTAGAGAAAAATTGTTTTTCAGCAGATTTGTTTAGAAGTTATTGTCCTTTTCTCTTCACCTTGGATTTGCATGGAAGAGTTAAATAGAAAATTGGCAGTCTTCCTCGTACAGAGAACAACTATGAGACAGTTTTGTGTGTTTATTTAAGGAGTTGTCTTTGTATATAACGTGCTTTGTACAGCTTTACAAAAACAAATGATTTTAATATATATATAGATTAAAAGTTTGGATGTAATCTTAAGCTCTTTTAAGGGATTTTCTTATCATAGTAATTAGATTTTGTGCTAAAGTGGATTTCTTCACAAAGTTGTTAAAGCTCTGCTAGAATTTAGGCTTAAGTCAGTAACAAGTCAAGGATATGTCCAGTAAAACAGTGTAAATTTATGATTAGTCTTTGTTGATATGCAGGGAACTGCAATTTCATGAATGTGTAGTGCAAATTCAAACTGAAAATTTTAGAGAAATTTGTTCCTTTAAATGTTTAAGAACAGGGTCAGAAAATCTGTGTTATTTACTTTGAACTCTATTTATTTGAAGTTTGACTATGTAGCTATGACTTGACACTGTAAGTGTTGACTAATGAGAAAGATTGGAACATTATATTTCTTGCTGAAATATAGCTACTGAAGTATTAATATTTTTTTAACTTGATAGATATTACTTTATTTTCACTTTACATGATTATATCTATCAGCTTAGATATTTGTATTTTTAAACTACTGAAAAACTGACATTAGGAATAATGAACAAAGCTACATGTGTCTTTAAAACAGTGAACTTGTGAAGTTTGAAATGAAGTTACTAAAACTATAAATAAAAGAAACTGTATTTCCGTATATAATTTATATGCAATATTTAATGGTTATTACATATAGTATATGTTCATATTGTGTATATGCAATATGTTTCATGATGAGTTATAGAATTTAACAGTTATGTATGATACTAGTGTATAGCCTGTCAAAAATGATGGGTGTTAAGAAATCTCTAAAGATTGCTATAAATTAACTAAACAATTTTATTCACATTAAAAGTCACATTTTTATTTCATTATATTTCTGAATACACTGAAAATATCATCAGTATTTTTCAATTTCCTTTGGAATTGTGAATCAATAATTTTTACATACATTTTTTTCTTTAATTGCATAATTTAAATACTATGTGTTCATGGTTATACACATGTAACTAAATATTATCTGACTAACATTAGTAATAGTAGGTCTATTTGTAATCCAATTTAAGCATTAGGCCCAGTACATAAATGTAACGTAACTTAGCTGAAACACTACTTCATTGAAATCTTTGGTAACTTTTATTTTGCTTTTGTCTACAACTCAATGACAGAAAACTTAGATGTTCATTAAACTGAAAAAAATATAAGTAAAATGTTATTTAACTTATCACGGTGTGATAAGATACCCTAAAGTACTATCTGTTTTGTAATTATGCCTAAAGTAAAGATTTAGTGTACAATAACTTACCCTAGGCCCAAGTGCATGAAACTTCTCGAGAAGGAAAAAAATATCAATTTTAAATCTAAATCATTTTTGAATTAAACTATTTTGCTGTTATATCATCAAAATTATAAAAAAAATAATTAAAAAAACAAACATTTCTAACAAATCAACATGCATATTAAGCATTCAACATAAACATCATAGTTGGTTTAACTACAGTGTCATTTGGTAGTTTTGTTACTAAGCAATGATGTAACTTGTAGACCATTACTCAAAAAATGGAGCTTGATGTGAAGACAGAAACTGCTTAATATATATATATGTATATTATATTAATACCTGTGTTTTAAATTGAATTATACACAGTGTGATTTAGTGTGCTAAAGGAAATGGGCCACCTTTGATTAGGCTTTTTTTTTGCTATGTCAGTCTATGAAATAAAGTTTGTTCCTTTTAAAAGTTGATATTTTAAGCCAAACTTGATTTCTCAAGCTGAAAATTATTATATTTGTTAGGAAAAGCCTATTGGTTTACCTTTGAGAAAGGAAATTCAGGGTACAAATATATCGGAGTACTGTTGCAGTACTGTTTTGAAGAGCTTCCACTTTAGCAAAAAATCTCTTGTAATGATTTTATATGCAACTAGCAAATTTATTTTATGAATTGTAAGCATATTAACATGTACATAGTTAGAAACAGACTGACTTCATTATATGTTAAGATTATTTCATTAGATATGTCTTTTACTTTCAAAAATTCACACCAAGTGTCTACAAGTCAGCTGAGATGTTACAAAATCCTTTAGATAACCTATCACTTACATATATACATCTATCAGATTCGTTATGTTAAGAATCAGAACTTCCAGCTAGTTTTATTATTGCAAAGTTATAAGTAGATCAAGTGGTTGTTGTTTACTGACATCTATAAGAATAAAGAGTATGATAAAGTATCCTCTGAAACATTTATTTAGAAATAAACATTTATCATGGTGTATTCATTGGTGGTTCATTCTTACTTTTGTTGTGGTTTTTATGTCAGAAAATCCAATAACTGTATGTAATAAGTGAAACAATGAGAAATACCCTTTTCTGTGCAATGTTTTTTTCATGAATTGTTTTCTTCTTCTTTCCCCTCAATGTAACACCCCCACCCCCATTTCATGAATTTAATATTTTAGAGATAAAACAACTGGTTTATGATATGTCATTTTAGCATAGGTTGAGTTAGACTGATATATTTAATACTTAAGTGATAAAGGAAAGTGAATGAAAACACTTGCACATTAATAATGAAGGAACTGAAAGTTCATCATTCCTAAAGATGTGATAAAAGAGAAAGCAAAGCTCTCTCATCATTTCATCAGCTGTTGATAATAATAAGGTTATTTGATATTACTGTACAAGGTCATGAAAAAAGAAGTAGAAGCCCTTTTACAATAGTCCTCTTGATTTTGATGCAAAAAGTGGATGTACTTTCAAATTCCCTCTTGGTCTTAATGGATTGGTGACTCTTCCTTATTTTTCTTCATCTTCATCAAGGAAATAAGGGGGAGGGCTCTTGCATATTACTAATTCAAACCTGTTCCACAATATAAAAAAAAATTAATATAAGAATTGGAAGATCTTTAAACAATTATTTTTCCTGATCTTTATTAATGAAGAGTGGTGTTTTTAATATGCATTGTTATAATGAAGGAAATAGAATATGATATATCATTTGTTTTTTTTGATAAAGGAAGCGGAAAATTTTCAAGATTATTATTCCTGGTCTTGATGGAGAAAAAAAAAGGTTCTTCCATGTTACTCTCCTATTTCTTGACCATCAGGTCTAGATTTTTTGCAGCTGTATATGAGGTAAACTGAAACTTGTTAAGTGACCCATCATGATATCATTGTCACGAACATTTTAACTACATATCTTGTGGCCCCCCAGTGGCACAGCGGTATGTCTGTGGACTTACAACGCTATAAACCGGGTTTCGATACCTGCGGTGGGCAGAGCACAGATAGCCCATTGTGTAGCTTTGTGCTTAACTTCAAATAAACAAGCATATCTTGTGGGTGTTTTTTCTGCCACTACCTCTTCCACTGTAATGATATATACTGAAGCGCACTCAACTTCTTTAAAAATGAATTGGCAAATTTAACAAGATGATCAAGGAAATTGGGAAAGAATTAAACTAGTTTTATATTATTTGACCAGTTTTTTTATTTAAAAATTGAAAGATTTATATCATTATCCGTAACAAAAGAAGAGAAACTTCTTCCATGTTATCATGCTAGGTCAGAAGTGAAAGATATTCAAAGTGTTCCTGATGTTGACAAAGGAAGAAATAGCTCCTTCACACTTAATCTTAATAAAGTAAGTGGAAATCTTCAACATTATTTTTTTTCTAAAATGTTTAAAAAACAAACAAAAAACTCTTCCCCATTACTTTTCCATTTCGTCATTATGGAGTTTAATATTTCTAGTAGAATTATGTGAGTTAAGTTAAACCTTATTAAAATGACTTTCTATGATATAATTTCCTCAAAACAAATTTTGATAGCATTTTTCTTTTTCTATTATTTGTTCCACTTGATTTTAGTAAGATGACTTGCATGTGTTCTATTCTAACTGTCCACTATCTTTGAAAGTGTGATTTGTAAGAAATCTTTCTGTACCTACATGCATTAAATATCCACCGAAAACCACATATAGTGGTGATTGTATCTGATAGATTTATAGGCTAGTCGGTGTGTCCAGCTTTGCTCATGTAGTCAAATCCAGAATTTATTTTTCTGTTAACATGTTTGTTTTTATTACACTTGCTTTAATTGATTGAACTTCTTTTTTAGTTTATTCATACATTATGAGTTTGTAGTTTTATTGTTATGCTTGTGGCTAAAGTGGGGTGTTTTTTGTCTCATTGCAAAATTTGAAAAATTAAAACAGAGTGGTGTGCAACTGCAAAATACAGAGTTAGAATGTTACACAAGAGTGATAGGTGTAATCCCTAAAAATTTGTGACTAAAGGTAGAATATTAAAAAAAAGTGACAAGTGTAACAAAATATAAATTTAAACAGATACGTGAAACAGTGGAAGGATATTACACAGAGTGACAAGTGTTAACCACATCATCAGTGAAACAAATGGTATTATTTAGTTATTCATTGTTTACAGATATGCAATGTTAAAATTCAGGGTTCAATTCCTTGCAGCTGATGGGGTACAGATAGCTTGTTGTGTAGTTTTGTGTTAAGAAAACAACAACATTTGCAGAAAGTTTTAAATGCTGGAAACAATGGTAGAATATTAAACAGAATGACATGAAGTTAGTTACAGGAAGTGTTAAGTTTATCCAAAGAATACTGGAAACAGTTGTAGGATACTGAATAGAATAACACAAAGTGTGTTGCAGGAAGTGTATCCACAAACTACTGGAGACATAAAGATGTAATGATATTTAGACTGCTTCCTGTAACCAACTCTTAAGCAGATTCTTCTTCAAAAATACGTTTTCTGTGTGTAACATGCTTCAAATCCTGTATTATAGTAACAAGCTTGTAGCATCACGGACTGAGTCTACTATTGATAAAGATGTGATGTTTAATTGGTGGCATGATAATTTAAAATTATCAAATATTACTAAGTGTAATATGGCTTTTAAAAGAGCACTTTCAGTGATGTAGTTTGCATTATCATACATTGAATTAAATATTAGTCATGTAAAATGTTTATTCTAAACCCTTTTTTAGTAGATAACCTGAATCATAATTTAAATTAGATATTTACCAGTGTTTGAATCATCTTAACACATTGTTTCTTTTGTAAAGCATCATAAATTTAATAATCATCAATTTATTTTTCATAGCTACTAACAATTATAAAATATTATTTGAAACATCACTTTTGATTTCTGTGTGTGTGGACAAGCAGTTACTTCCAGTCATCAAAACTTAGGAATTTAGTTTTGTGATATCTGACCAGACAGTGATTGTCTTATTTGTACAAAAGAAATAAAGACATTTAAGAATATTATTTTCACTCTGTTCATATAAGTCATGATTTTCTTCAATTAGCTCTACTAAAGCCTTCAAATGAAAGCTTCTTTGTTATGAGTAAAAACACATTACCTTGAAATTTGTTTGTTAAAAGTAAAAACTATTATAATAAAGAATATGAACTCAAATTGGTAATTTAATTTTAAAATAAATTTATTAAATCTTAATTGCGTGTAATTTAAGCTAATTATTAATGATTAAAGATTTGAGATATTATGGTATTTGATATTCTTAACAGCTCCTTATGCACACATGGGATAAATGGTTTTATAAGAGACCACTAGGACTCAAGCATAGCTGTTCCTGATTTTCAATCATTGATCAGAGTGAGGATACTCAGTCAGCAGTACTTTCTATCACAATAACCCTGTCTTGCTCCTCTAACCAAATAAGATGATTGACTGTCATTTTGCAACACATCCAACACAATGACAAACAAAAACAACCTAGTAACATTCATAAAGGTATATATAGGAACAAACTGCAATTTGGAAAGAAAAAACAAGATTTTACAGAGGACTTAAGATATGATGGAGGTTCCATTCATCAAAGACTGAATGTAACTCGTGATTAGATACCTGAATGTGAGATTGAGTTTTGGTGAATACACCTGTACTGCCAGAACTTATTTGGACTTTACAGTTTATTAGATACTTCAAGATAACCACTACTCATTAATACTGATTTCATTCTAACTAAAGGAAGCAGAGAAGTAGGACTGCTTTGTCATTAATATGGTTTCTTATAAAATAAAAGTTACTGTCTCTAACTCTGGTTTGAGCTTTGATATCTTGGGGATGAACTTGCTGCAGAAGTAATCAAACAGCATAGCTTATGATACAGGTGGGTGCAACATCCAATGCAGACCTGTAAAAATGCATAGATAATGGACTATGAGAGTAGAGGAACTGACAAGTTAGTGCTTCCAAATATACAAGTGTTTTTGAGGTGTACTTCAAACTCGGTCTGGTTTGTTGCCATCATATACACAGTTACCATAAACTTGAGGTTGCTGGTCAAAGATTGTACTTAGAGTTTTGATGAGAACTCGGTGGATTATAGGTAGAATTGACTAATGATGTATGTATAAACCCTGGGTTCCCTTTCTGTTAATGGTATTGGTTTAGTAAGTTGACGTGGTATTCTGGGAAGTTCTGCTATACTTGAAATTAAATAGTCTTATGGGAAGTTAGTATCTACTAAAATTTGTTCTCATGACCATTTCATGAAATTCACCTGATTGCCCAGCAAACATTCATATGAAAATTCAGCTAGGAAAACAATTTTTGCTAAGATATGTCTTTGATAACCTAAAGATCCATGTGCCATATAGATAAAATGAAAAAAGTTATTTTGTTGTGAAATAATTGTGCCAGCTTCATTCACAAGTGGTGAAGTCAGACTTGCACTTTGCCTAGCACATCTAAACTACCCGTTGTTATAGTTTTAATTAGCTTACTTGTTGCGAAATGAGTACGTTGGAATACCCCCAAAGGTATTGTGTTGCTCTGGACAGTGGACACCAGGTTTGGACCGTAAAACAAAATTGGAGATCTGAAAGGCAAAGATTGTGTAGAAGGCAGGTCATGAATAATTTGAACAGACATCATAGTTGGAGGGGAGTTAAATTTAGGTAAACGTTAGATAAAGAAAAAAACAGATATTTGTAATTATTGGTGAAAATGAAGAAATAAAACACCGTTGCTTCCCAGTAGCACAGCGGACTTACAACGCTAGAAACCGAACCGGTTTATGTAGTTTTGCTCTTAACTCCAAAAAAAAAAAAAACTGTTGTGAGTTGGAAGGAAGACGTTAGACAAAAGAAGGTAGATTGTTATCAGCTTCCTGTTGAGTCCCCCGATGTAACAGCGGTAAGTTTTAGGACTTACAATGCTAAAATCCGGGATTTGATTTCCCCACGATGAACACAGCAGATAGCCCAATGTGGCTTTGCTCTAACACAAAAACAACTGTCTTTCTGTTGGCTTCACAGTTACAACTTTTCAAGTCCATCCTAATTTATATAGGTGTATAAGAAAATTTAATGTTGATTAATCTTTAATATGACCTTAGGATGAATAAGTTTTAGCACGCATCATTACAATAACCTATTTTATAACTTGGAGCTGTTTGTGAGATAAGCGATGTTAAAGTTGTTACTAATGGATAAACACTGATTTATATTGTCTATCCTTTTTTTTTTTAAGTTGGAGATTTGATCGCCATCTTTATTTAACCCTTAAATTACTGACTTGATATACCGTTTACTATCCGTGGGCTTCACATCTTGCACCACACTTGGGTAACTTCTTGTTGTGTTGCAACAATCAGTGTAACGAATTAAATGAGTGAAATCGTTTATTTTCTACGCATCATACAAGGAAGTCCTGTATCAGTTAGTGGAATTAATTGAAATATTGACGGTACTTTTGTATGCATATTTTTTTATTTGTGTTTGTGACTCACCAATGACCGTATGATGACCAAAGTCACAGATGGACTCGCAAACCGTATGTCCTCTATCGGTAAATCAAAGGTTAAGTAATACTGACCTGTTTGCATATCCAGATCTTACATACACCTATATTTGTTAAAAACGAGATTTATAATAAATTTAATCTAAGATTTCGCTACCCAGTGGTGCCACAAAAGTATAAATCAACAACATATTCACGATGCTTCTTGCGCAAAATATAAAATGATCAGAATACTTTATTTAGTTTACGTGTGTCAATATATTGTTACGACAGCGGAAGTCACGTGACTTTGGTAACACGTGATGAGTTTCTAAAAGGATCGGGGAACATCACGAATAATCCACTATTTGCTAGACGCCCTCTCTTCCTGTATATAAGCAGGCAAATAAAGCGAGATAATTAATTGAATTGCAGACAGGCAGAGACGGACAATTGAGTCAAGCGCGGTAGTGACCGTAAGTAAAGTGCGTGAATCGTTGTGAATTAGAACGTGTGTTAAGTTAAAGTGACTGTGGAAATTAAGTGTATTGCAAAGTTGTATTGAGAAAGAATAAACTAGTCTTATTTAAGAAAGGACTTTTATCGCTAAAGTTTCATCCGAAAGAAATTATACGGGAAATTAACAAACGACCAGAGACATAACAATATTAAGAAAGGAAAATGGCCAAGGACCTGACCAAATTATTGATGTAGTATGCAAGTTTTGTCACATAATTTCTCTTTCAGTATCGGATATTATTGAAATAACAAATAAGTCACAAAAGTTTGTTAACAGTTATACAGTTTCAACAGTAAACCTTGAAAGTATCTATTCATTGACGTTTCGCTAGAGCTGTGCATGTAGTTTAAAAATTACAATGTAGTAAAATAAAAACTTGTTTGTGCAGTAAGTGTGTAGTGTTATTTAGCTATTACATTCTGTTTTATTTTAAGTATCATTATAAATGATATGATTATTGCTGGCTATTCAAAATGGTAGCCCCAAAACTATCTCATGTGAGTGGTATTTTCAGGTGACGCTGATTTCCATCAGAAAAGCTGGAATAACGGAAAGTTCAACAAAATATTTAGTACAAAGTAATTCCGAATTTGAGAGATTGAATTCAACTTAGAATACACAGTTAATACAGTCAGTATCATATCACAAGTAAAACACGAACACCGTGGGTGTACAGGGCATTTTAAAGGAATTTTCAGTGGTGGGACAAACTTTCAAAAAGGGCCTAAACGTTTTTTTCCCGGAATCCATCGTTTAAATCTACCAATCACAATAAATATCATTTGCAAGCAAAATATCAGTATATGAGGACACATTACAGTATTGTAGGAAGAAGTCCCAAAGTGGGGGTGCTGGACTAGACTTGCAGATTCTACAATGAGATTGAAAGTATGAGGAGCTGCTAAAGACAGCTCAATCTAGGGAGCATGTCCCCCGCCCCCATAAAAATTAACATAGCAATATAATTTATAGTTGCTATATAAGTCAGA